CTGTGGGTCTCCAGCCGCCACGCGGATCGGAAGAAGAAACATCTACGTGTGACACATACTGGCAGGTTGGTTTCTGTTCTAGCTCCCACGCCGACTCCGCGGCGCACTCCTGCTTGATCCCTTCGTCCGTTTTTTGTTCCGCTCCTCCCCCTCCTCCCCACCCATCCCCTTTGCCTATGAGCACCCCGCAGTTGCGGATAAAACTGAGGGGGCTGGCGCGGGGTGGGCCGCGGGTGGTTCGGGGGTAGGTCGCGGGGTTGGTCGCGGGTGGGTCGCGGGTTGGGTCGCCGGTGGGTCGCGGGGTGGGTCGCGGGTTGGGTCGCGGGTGGGTCGTGGGGTGGGTCGCTCGGCGGGTCGCGGGTGGGTCGCGGGACGGGCCGCGGGTGGGACGACGACAGTCAACAGCAACAAACAGAATCCGCGACGCAGAAACTCCTCTTCAACAACGCACCGAAGAACAGTGAATGTCCGTTCGGCCCCGTGATCGTTTGATAGGTCCTCCTTGCCGCACCCCAAGATGTGTCGGTAGGACGAGCTTGTACGGTGCAACAACTTCAAGGGTGAATGGCAGGCGGTATTCACAATGTGGCTACCGCCGTATCGCAGCGCACATCCGTCTTACGTGTTTGTAGCAGCTTCGCGGATGGAGGGCGGGTGGTTGTCAGAATGCTCTCACCTCAGCGCCGCCACCTTCTTCTTCATCGCGCGTGATGCTTGCCGGACAAAAGCGGCCGCGGAGTGCGCGCGCAGTTTCACATCTGCCACGGCACCCAAGTCCACAGGTTTCCTGCGCTGCATCCGCCCTCGGCCATGCATGCCTCTACCCTCCTACGTGCCACACAGTGCCGCAACGCGCCCTCGTTTTCGACAGGCCTCTCGGCTTGCGGCCGTGAGGGATGGCTGGGCAACTCGGTTGCGGAAGGCGCGCTCACCTAGCCGCCAGTCTTGCGTCCGTCTTTGCCAGCGCCGCTCAGGGCTGGCGCTTCCTGGCCGCTCTGCTGGCTCAAGCCGCCCATCCTGCTGCGGACTGACCGAACTGCCCTGGCTAGTTTGCCGCCGCCGTCGTCGCGAAGTGGGCAGAACGGCCCGCCTACTAAACAAACGCTTTGGGGGGGACTTCATGAGCTTCTCCTGGGTTGCCGGCTTCGTCGGCATGTATGGTTCGTTGTCGTCCGCGTGGGTCTTCGTCAACTCCAGGCGCTCACGCTCGTGCCACTGTTGCAACATCAGAAGCCTGACCCCCGACGCGCTTCATCTTGCCTGGTCCTCCCATATTCGCGATGTGCAGGGCGCTGCTGATGTCGCTTGCCAAGACAGGCGTCGCAATATCGTGCCGCTCGCTTATCGGCGATGCCAGTCCGAGAGCCTCGGCTGCTCTGGATCCTAATGCGTACAACTCGCTTTCCGCCGAGCTCAGGGCCGCGCAACTCTGGCGCCGCGCCCGCGATAGCACTGCGCACTCATGAGTCTTAAGTACACCGCCGTTGACTGAGACCCCGTCGCCCTTGTTGTCTGCCCAGTCTGCGGCCGCGCGGCACTGCGCGATCTGCCGGATCTCCGTCTGTCTGGTCTCAACGCCGACCCCGCCCCCATGGCCCGCGCTGGGTACCTTGCCGTCTTCTTCAACCTGCGCTGGCCCATCTGAGTTGCGGCGCGTCCTGCGCGCGTCGTTTCCTGCTGCGTTCAGGAACGCATTGTTGCCGTTCTGCGTAACCTCCTTCTTTGCGTCCGAGACTACTGATGGTTTCGCCGTCTACAACCCGAGCTCCAGTAGCGGGTCCTCGATCAGCGGCGTCTCGCCCGCCCTCGATCGCGCGGACCTGCATGCTCGGGGCCCAACCGCGTCCGAGAGCCTAGGCTTCCCGCCCATTTCCGCCGGCAGTTGGTCCGCCGACTCGCGGGGCCCTGCCGCGAGGAAGTCGTCGGCGCGCGTCGCCCTGCCTTGGCATCGTCTTGGGTCCTCGTCTAGCTGCAGCCGTCGTAGTGCCCTCGATCAAGACCCATCTGCTCCATCGCGACTGCGCTGCCTGGGCGATCGAAATCGGTCGCCGCGACCCTTCTCGATGACGCCTGTGCTTCACGCGCGACCAGAGGAGGCGTCGGGCGTCTTCCCCGACCGCGAACCCCGAATCGACCGGATTGCCCTGTTCTCCTGCCTGACCGCAGTCGAAGTGATCAGCGGGATGATTGCGCCCTTCCTGCCAACCCTCTCGCGCGCCACGCCAGCGGCCTTCGCCTGAGCGCAGACCTCGCGTCGAAGTTCTTCTAGGTAGTGCGGTAGCTCGTGCCTCTCAAATCTCCTCCGCACCAGGTTCGCGCGGCCCTGCGATGCCCTGCGCTGCCACCGTGGGTCCCTGGTGGATGCGATCGTCGGGGATCGCTGCTGGCCCGTGCGTCGGCCAATGCATCCACTTGTGGCCGCGCCTGGGCGAATGGCCAGCGCTCGCGCTGCCGGCTAGTTGCCACCCTCCTCTCCTGGTCGCGCGGCTGCGGCAACTGCTCCTTTTGGCGCTGCGAGCGCGCCGTTCGTGTCCGTTCCTGGCCAAGCACGCGAGTGCGTAATGGTCTTTGGCGTTATTCACCTTGACGCGTCCCGCTATCTCGCGTCGCGATGCCCCCCCCCCTTCTCGGTCGCCGCCCCTCGCGCAGAGCTGGCCGGCCCTCATGTCCGCCAACTGGAACTTTAGAATGATATTGCGGTTGCCTGCGATGTAGAGTGCCACCGTCTTCTGGCCGTAGAGCTTCAGTGGGCGTCGTCTGCCACCGCTTAGATCGGGTTCCTGCTGGACGTTGCGGGCGCCCATTGGAAGTCGTAATGTCCGCGCGCGTGCTCGTCCGCGCAGATGTCAGTCTGCGTCGGCCAGCTGGTCCAGTCGCCCTCGGTCCTCGCGTTGCTGATCGTGGACCTGCCTGGCTTCAGACTGGGCTCGGCGATCGTCGCCTGTTGCACGATGGGTGCGACCCCTCCCCGCGCGGCCTGCCCCTGGGGCCCGCGTGCCGCGACCTGTCTAGCTGGGGGCCCCGCGGTCGACGCCGCCGCGCTGCTAGGCGAAGGGCCCGCCGGCGACCAAGAGCATCCACTTGCGCTGAGAGCTCGTTGACCGAACCACCTCAGCTGGTTCGTCCCCTACCTGCGCCACCGGGGCCCGCGCGACCGCGCCCCGCGGGTCCTGTCTGACCGCCCCCGTGGGCTGGGCGCCAGCAGTCCCTTGCGTAGTGGCCCCTGCGCCCACAGCTGGAACGCTCGGGGCTGGTCTTCGCGTGGTTCGTCTTTCCGCATGTCTTTCCACTTGTCGCTCCGCCTTGGCCCCTATCGCCCTTGCCCCCCTTGCCGCCGTCGCCCACGTCACCGCGGCTTCTGCTTTTGCTCAGGCCGCAAGTGCTAGTGAGCGTGTCGACCTCCGTGGCAGGGGGGGGCCCTTGGAATCCTAGGTGGTGGGTGCACATGCCTCTGGCGCCCGTCGCCGTAGATCGTCGCCGCCAGCCGATGCTGGACAGCGGTCGCCAAGTGCCCCTGATGACTTTGGGCGCCTTCTAGAGGAAGATTCTCTTTTTCGCCACTCCGCGCGAGCCCCCTCGAACTCCGCCAAGATATGTGGGAACCGTGTGACGGTCAAGATGGTTGTCATGATGCTCTGGGCCCGAACTGCCGTAGGTGGTTCGTGCCTCTTGCGCAACGTTCTCCAAGGAGTTGCACTATTATGTTGGCCAGCTCCTCTCATGATCATCTGAGCGCTGCCCTTCACGGTCATGACCAAGCTGAGGAACATCTGATAGTTTGCCGCGGTGCGCTCGTCGTCCAGATTCTGAGAAACAAAAACTACGCCGAGATGCCAGGCTCCTTCCTGAGAGCCGCCTTCAGCGGGCGTTGGGATGCCTGCGTTTGCCCTCCGAGGAAGGCTTTCATCACGGAGGGCCACTCCTGCTAAAGCTCCTCGCGCCCGTCGAGGTCGGGCGGCTTGATAGCCGCTTCCCTGCCACTCGACGCCGACCGCCACTGCTGCGGTCTACCTGCTAGCTCCGCCCGGTTACTTCCCGAGCGCCCTTGGCTGCTCGGTTGTACCCGAGCCCGTTTCTGGCGGGTTTCGCCTCGCCTCCCTATGCCGTTGTACGATTTGCCGCGGATCGCCCAATATGGCGCCGTTGCGCGCGCGGGGAGGCCAGCTCCACTGTGGGGCGATGGTTGGAGCTGGTCCCAGCCGGCATGGCTACCATGATGCTTCTCCCGTGCCAAAGAGACTGCGCAGTGCGCGCGCAGATGCACATCTGCAACTCTGTCTACGCCACCGGTTTCATGTAATGCATCCACCTTCGAACGTATATGATTCTACATGCTACACATTACCGCAACAGTCATCAACAATTTGAATGATGGGGGGCGGTTCGTTTTCACATCGTGGCTCTGTCATCAGCGCCGGGCACATTGTACGCATGTATGCAAGCATGCGAAAGATGGAGTTCGGTTCATGTTCAAAATGCGGTTGTCGGTTTAGCGCCGCGCACAATCGTTCAAGACGTGTGCAACAGTTTCAAAGATTTGTAAGGGTCGGATGTTCAGGACTGGTGTTTTGCCACGATTGGGCGCAACAGTCACGTTGATTCGCGGTGTTGAAATCCCAAGAACGATGGTTTGGCACGATCCAAGGCTGTCAGGGCGCAACAGCGCTGAAATCCCAAAGGTGTATTTTTCCAACACCACTGGGGTTTCTGAGACCGTTTTCTTCCAATAGAGCATTTCCCGCAATGAAAATACATTATTGCAGGGACCTGTGAGGAGGAAATTTGGAGGGAGAGATTACTGCAACATCGTTGATGCGTATTGGGTTTGCGATGGTGCTCCTCCACCTCATTCTCTTTCTCCCTCGCTGAACCGCTCCGTCCCCGACCCCGAAACACGTCTAGACATTCCTAGCTCGGCCTCCGCCGAACACCCCCATCTTCGCCCGCCGGGACTCGCCCTGCACAGGCAGGCTGTGCGTTCAACTCCGCCCGCCGCGGGCCTGTTTCTGCTTCCTCGCCAGCTCTTCCCTTGCCGAGGGGACAGGGCGGGGGGGCGACGCAGAGACAAGAAGTACAGCAGCATGATGGCGAAACTCCGCAACGACAGGAGTAGGCGAAGGACAACATCGGATGGGACGACGACGTCGTGTTGACATGGTGGCGCGTCGAAAGACGGCACGGCTACAGGGTGCACGGTCGTAGCAAAGGCGGAGAGCGGACACTGCCTGCACTGAAGGCTCTCTTGCTCGACTCGGGAATCACTGCCTCGCGCCGACAGGGTCTTCGTGGCCACCCTCGTGCACTCCGTCTCTGGTCCTGGTGCCACCCTCCGCCGTCTCAGAAATCCCTTGCTTGCCCTGCCCCAAGCTCTAGGGGAAGGAACGATGCCATGAACATGAAAACTTGGAGGTCGGCGCGGATTTCTCGGATCGGCGCTGGACCCCCATCCCTGGCGCGCGGAGCGCGCCAGGGGCGGCGCCAGAGGCGCCGCCAGGGGGCCCTGGGGCCGATCCGAGGAATCCGCGCGGACCTCCGAAGTATGGTGTTTCCGTCATTGCTTGTTCCCCCAATCTCTGCTCCGCGGCCCTCGTCGTCTGCCTGGCTCGTCCCCGACTCCGCTGCTGCCCGCTCCCTGGACCGTCCTCTCCACCCGCTTCCCCTGGCCCGCTGGTCCGGGTGCTGCTAGAAGCGCCCCTGACCCCAAAGGTGCCCCCAAGGTTTCCAAGGAGGCCCTCCGGGCCTCCAGAGCACAAACTGGGGGCATCTCTTCGGCAAGGGGCACCTTTAGCAACCCTCGAACTGCTCCTCCTCTCCCCCTTCCTCTTCCGGCCCCGCTCCCCCCTAAACGAGGATGAGGAGACGGAGGAAGAGGAGGAACCAGAGTCGGAGTCGGAGTCGGATGATGATGAGAAGGAGGAGGAGGAGGAGGAGGAGAAGGACGAGGTCCCTCGCCGTAGCCGTCGCCGCTAACGACCGCCGCCGAGGGCCGTCGGTGGCTGCCGATGGGGCGCCTCCAGCGCCGATGGCGGTCGTCGTCCTCGTCCGCAGACTGGGCGGCCGCCTTCTGCGGAGGCAAATCGGGAGTACGGGGCGCCGCCTGGGGGGCCGCGCGGCGCGTGGGCGGCGGCGGGCAAAAATCGCGCGGCGGCCCTGGGGAAGGCCTGCGGAGGGCCTGCCGCGGGCAGCACCCGCGCCCTCCGAGGGGCTCAGGTGTGATAACGGAGGCCAGGTGCGCTGGCAGCAGTCACGTGTGGTATACGGCAGAGGGGAAGAATTAGTGGACACACTCCCCCGCTCCCCCAGACTCACAGTTGGCGCCCGCGCGGGGGAGCCTGCGGTCGAAGTGCAGCTCGTTCAACCCACCGCCAACATTGATCATTGGGGGGGCATTGACAGATGAATGCGGCATGAGTGATCGCTGATTTCTTCCGAGGCCTGAAAGCTCGGCCCCAGTGTGGCCAGCAACTCGAGCGTGGGACCCAAAAAAGGCGGCTCGAGTGGGTCGAAGTGCGATGGAGGAGGCTGCTACAAAGAGTGGCCAATGGGCCTCCGCACCGCCCGTTCTGGGGCCGATGCCGTGTGTGCGCGTGTGGGCGCTGCCCTGCAAGTCTCTACGTAGGCCTCCCCCGCCCACTCACTCCGTTGGGTTGGCCGCGGTGCTGGTGGGAGCGGGAGGACATCTGCTCGGCGGCGGTCGAGAGCGGCGATAGCGATGACGGCAGGAGACCCTCCACCCCATCGCCGTCCTCCCCGTGCTCCTGTTCCTCCTGCTCCCCTCCCCTCCCCGTCCTCCTCCTCCTCCTCCTCCTCCTCCTCTTCCTCCTCCTCCTCTTGCTTGAAGGCTGTCCTCTGCGAAGTCTCCCCCCTATCCCGCGCCTCTCGGAACGCGTGGGTGGAGGGGGTGGGTGGGGCGTGGCCTTTCAAACGAGGGTCGTTTTCTTATAAGAAGCCTTCCCCCTCTGGAGGAGGTGGAGGAGGACGAGGACAAAGCAGAGGAGCAAAACTCCGCTCAGGCCCTCCCTTGTTCTTGACGGCCCTGGGGCCCGGAACGGGCCGAATGCAGAACATTGCGTAAGAACTCATCTTCGAACCTCCTCCTCCTCCTCCTCCTCCTCTTCCTCATCCTCCTCCTCCAACCTCTCTCCTCCATGTTGTTCCTCAACCTCCTGTGTTGGGTACTCGTTTTGAATCGAGCACTGTGTTGCCCCACATCCCCCTCCTCCTACTCCCCGTCCTCCTCCTCCTCCTCCTGCCTTCCCCCCTCCTCCTCCTTCTCCTCCTCCTCCTCCTGCATTCCTCTATTCTCCTCCTCCTCGTTTTCTTCCTCCTCCTCCCTGCCTCGTGACCTCGCCATCTCCTGAGGGGCTGCGATCTGCGAAACTGTCGCCACTTTCGTGGGTTTCTGGGAGGGCCAGCGGAGGTACGTCAGACGCAGATCACCGAGAGACTTCGCCGTCCACTGGGGGGCTGCGATCTGCAAATCGGTCGCCACTTTCGTGGGCTTCTGGGAAGGCCAGCGGGGGTACGGCACATGCAGATCACCACGAGACCTCGCCGTTACCTGAGGGGGTGGCTGCGATCTGAACCACTGTCGCCACTTTCGTGGGCTTCTGGGTGGGCCAGCGGAAATACGTCCCACGCAGATCACCAGGAGACCTCGCCGTCCACTGGGGGGCTGCGATCTGCGAATCTGTCGCCACTTTCGTGAGCTTCTGGGAAGGCCAGCGGGAGTACGTCCTATGCAGATCACCACGAGACCTCGCCGTTACCTGAGGGGGGGGGGGGGGGGGGGCGATTTGCATGACTGTCGCCACTTTCTTGGGCTTTTGGGTGGGCCAGCGGAAGTACGGCCCACGCAGATCTTTGGGGGCCTGCGATCTGCGAAACTGTAAATTAATTCGTGAGTTTCTGGGAGGGCAAACGGAGGTATGCCCCACGCAGATCACCACGAGACGTCGCCGTCCCCAGGGGGGGGCTGCGATGTGCATGACTGTCGCCACGTTCGTGGGCTTCTGGGAGGGCCAGCGGAGGTACGTCAGACGCAGATCACCGAGAAACCTCGCCGTCCACTGGGGGGCTGCGATCTGCGAATCTGTCGCCACATTCGTGGGCTTCTGCGAAAACCAGCCGACGTACGTCCTATGCAAATCACCACGGGACCCCGCCGTCACCCGGGATGGGGCTGCGATCTGAGCAACTGTCGCCACATTCGTGGGCTTCTGGGAGGGCCATCGGAGGTACGTCCCACGCAAATCACCACGAGACCTCGCCGTCCCCTGAGGACTCTGCGATTTGCGAAACTGTCGCCACTTTCGTGAGCTTCTGGGAGGGTCAGCGGAGGTACACCTCGCGCAGATCACCACGAGACCTCGCCGTCCCCTGGGGGGCCTGCGATCTGAGCCACTGTCACTACTTGCGTTGGCGTCTGGGAGGGCCAACGAAGTACATCCCAACCAGATCACCACGAGACCTCGCCGTCCCCTGGGACGGTGCGATTTGCATGACTGTCGCCACGTTCGTGAGCTTCTGGGAGGGCCAGCGGAAGTACGTCCCACGCAAATCACCACGAGACGTCGCCGTCACCTGGGCGGGCTGCGATCTGCGGAACTGTTGCCACTTTCGTGTGCTTCTGGGAGGGCCAGCGGAGCTACGTCCCTCGCAGATCACCACGAGACGTCGCCATTCCCTGGGGGGCTGCGATTTGGGAATTTGTCGCCACTTTATTGGGCCCCCGGGGGGGGGGTCAACGGATGTACGGCCCAAGCAGATAACCACGAGACCTCGCCGCCCCCTGGGAGGCGGCGATCTGCGAAACTGTCGCCACTTTCTTGGGCTTCTGGGAGGGCCATCGGAGGTACGTCACATGCAAATGGATGGCCACGAGACCTCGCCGTCTCCTGAGGACTCTGCGATCTGCATGACTGTCGCCACTTTTGTGGGCTCCTGGGAAGGCCAGCGAAAGAACGTCATACGCAGATCGCCACGAGACCTCGCCGTCCCCTGGGGGGCCTGCGATCTGCGGGCCTGTCGCCACTTCGTGGTCTCCTGGGAGGGCCAGCGGGGGTACGTCATGCGCAGATCACCGCGAGACCTCGCCGTCCCAGGGTGGCTGCGATCTGCGAATCTGTCGCCACTTTCGTTGGCGCTTGGGGGGGCCAACGGGGGCACGTTCCACGCAGATCACCACGAGACCTCGCCGTCCCCTGGGGGGCCGCGATCTGAACCACTGTCGCCACTTTGTGGTCTCCTGGGGGGTCCAGCAGAGGGGGTGTTTCACGGGGAGCACCATGAGACCTCGCTGCGCTGTTTGAGCGCAGAACGCAGCGGGATGGGGCGCCATGGGGCGCATGGCGCTGTCATGTGCCCATGCCGCATCGACTCTTCAGTTGCCTCGTGTCCGTAGTGCGATCGGGCACTTGCAGCGCTCAGCGCAGGGCGCTGTTCAGTCATAGTGCGCATGGCGTTGTTCTGCAATGGGGGCCTAGCGCAATGCGCTGTTACTCCACGAAGCATGTCCCCAGTTCTCTCTTCATCAATATGTTACCAGGCCCCCCCTGTGGCCGACTTCCTGCCAACGATCAGACTCTTAAGAATGATGCCGCGACTGTGACACATTTGACTCTGGCCCAACGTTCCTTGGCGAAGCATTCAAGAGCACGGCGCGTCCTTCAGAGCTCGCCTTTGTATTGAACGGTCCGATGTATAGTCGCCTCGTGTGTACAAAGGGTTCGGTACGTCCCAAGGTATGTCTTCTTCCTCCTCCTCCTGATGAATAATTCCTCCCTGTCGCACCCCGAGGCTGGTCGAAAGGGCGGGCCAGGCGTTTCGCCTGAGACTTCCTCGCCATCTATGACCCTGAAGCTTAAACTTTGGCAACGCCTTCACGCATGGAGGGCGGGTCGTTTCTAACATGTGGCTCTCTCCTTCGCGCCGCGCACATTTGTTAAACATTGCAAGAACTTCACGGGTGGAGGGCGGGTGGTGTTCAACATATGACTCTCGCCTTAGCGCTGCGCGCATTCGCTACAACAAATGTGTAAGAGTTTCGCGGATAGCAGGCGGGTGGTGTTCGACATGTGGCTCTCGCCTTAGGTTCGCGTGCATACGTTTTCAACGTGCGTAAGAGTTTCACGAATGGAGAGCGGGCGGTTTTCAACATGTGACTCTCGCCGTAGCGCCGCGCACATTCATTTAAACGGCGGGTGGTTTTCAAAATGTGGTTCTCGCCTTAGCGCCGCGCGCATTCATCTTAACAATGTAAGCTTCACGGGTTGAGGGCGGGTGGTGTTCAAAATGTGGCTCTCCCTTTTGCACCGCGAACATTAGTTTACAACGTTTGCTAAAGTTTCACGGATTCCCATGATCAGCGTACCATAATGGTGTTTTGGAAGGATTCAGGGCGGTGAGGGCGCAAAAGTTATGTGGGCTCGCGGTGTCGAAGTCCCGGTAATGGTGTTCTGGCACGATTCAGGACCGTCGAGGCGCAACAGTCAAGTTGATCCGTGACGTTGCAGTCCCGAGAATGGTGTTTTGGAACGCTTCAGGGTCTTCAAACAGTTCGGCACGCATTAGGGTCTTCAAACGGTTGTCTTCCAACGCGGCCGTTCCCTCAGTGGAAATGAGGCCTTGCAGGGGCCTCTGAAGAGGGAGCTCAAAGGGATGGCTTTATTCCAACATCGTTGATGAGTCTTGGGGTTACACTAGCCCCTCCTCCTCCTCCTCCTGCTCCTCCTGCTCCTCCTCCTGCTCCTCCGCCTCCTTCAACCTCCCCACGCACCACCGACTCCCCCCGCAGACGCCCCGAGAGGGCAAGAGGAACTCCCTCCCTGCCCACCGCCGACCTCCCGCTCTCGCTGGGGTCTCTGCGCCCGGTACTGCGCGAGCGCGTCGCCCAGCGTCACGACCCCTGCAGCGGGGGTCGCCGTCACGAGAGAGAGAGAGAGAAAAGGAGAAAGATAAACAACGAAATGGAGAGAGAGAGTGAGAGAGAGAGACAGGCCGAGAGAGGGAGGGAGAGGGAGAGGGAGAGAGGGAGATAATTACGGAGAGTGGGAATGTAAATGCGGATGGAAGAACATACTCAAACGGAAACGGAGATAGAGAGAGAGGGACAGCAGGGGAGAAGGGGTGAGAGAGAGAGAGAAAGAGCGAAGAGAGAGACAGAGAGAGAGCGAGAGAGAGAGCGAGAGAGAGCGACAGAGAGATGTGACGGCAGGGGGCTGACACGCAAATGCTATGATGATCCAGGAGCAGCCTGGGACGGAGATATGCATATATATAGAAAGATAGATCGATAGATATATAGATAGGTAGATAGACAGGCATCTAGGTAGATAGTTAGATAGATGGATCGATCTATAGATAGATACATAAATATATAGATACATATATATAAACATACATAGACAAATGTATATACACATATATAGATAGACACATATATATAGATATATATATATAAAGATAGATAGATAGAGGGATAGAACTATATACAGAGAGAAAACAAACAACCCCACTATATATATATATACATAAGGAAGAGGGGAGAGAGAAAGAGCGAGAGAGAGAGAGAGGAAGACAGAACCGGAGAGAGAAAGGAAGAGAGAGAGGGGGACAAGGGAGGGGGGGAGGAGAGAGAGAGAGAGAGAGAGAGATCGAACGACGGGGCGTCTGATGGGAGAGCAGCGGTCGGTTACGCTAGGCATGTTTAAACCACGGGGGCTTACTACGAATGCTCGGCCCGCACTTCTCACTCTTGCATGCCTGCGCCTTCACAACAAATGTCGCGGCGATTTCGCATGGAGGATGGGGAGGATCAGAAGGATAGGGAGGGGGTAGCAGGGAAGAGGATGAGCAAAATGCTGAGGAGGGGGACGACGACGACGACGAGGACGACGACAAAAGACCCTTGGAGGGCCCGTTGGCACTACGGGCCGGGTTCCTCCATCCCGCAGCTCCCACCGTTCTCGCTCCTGCGCCTCCTCCCTCCACGAGAGCGCGTAGAACACAATGGCTCCAGACTGTAATTATGTTATGACCTTTTGAATGTTGATGGCAAGTAGATGGGGCTCCCCTCGGGAAGCAGGCACATGTGGCGGGGGGATTTGCTCATTTAGCCGCTCGTGTCAGGTTCCACCTTGGGCTGACTTTGTGATTATGTTCTGACTGCGGGGCACTAGCTACAAAGCTGCTCGGTAATCTAGCCGAGCGATTTGGGGACCACACCCCCACAGGGAGAGAATATTTGATAATAGTTGAAGCTGGGCTTTGGCCCAGAGTACTCAGCAAAGCTAAGAAAGCCAAGAGACAAAGTAACCGATCCTAGGTTGCGGCGGAGGTGGATTCAGATCGCTACGCGATCAGGCAGTGTCTCCAGAGTCAGAGTCTCCTCCTCCTCCTCTTCCTCCTCGTTTTCCTCCTCTTCCTCCTATCCCTCCTCCTTTTCATCGTCCTCCCCCTTCTCCTCCCCCTATTTCTACGCTTCCCCCCCGCCTCCATCGATTCCGCCCCTCCTCCCTCGACCCCACCTTGCCTCCCTCAATTTCGAAGCTCCAAAGGCCAAAGGCGTGGCCCCCCAAATAATTAGCCCGGGGTGTTCTCAACACCTCCGCGTCGCCTCTGGGGGCGCCCCGGAAGCGCTTCGCGCCACCGGCGCCGCGCCTCTAGAGGCGTCCCCCGGGTTGGGGTTTCGAGCCTGCCCCGGACTGGCCTAGGTGGCATGTGGAGGCCAGCTATAACTCCGAGGTCTGCCTGCGCACAGCCCCAACTCTTGCCTTCTCGCTCTCTTTCCCCTCCCTCCCTCACCCAGCTTCCTTCCCCTCCCTCCTCCTCCTCCTCCTCCTTCTCCTCCTCCTCCTCCTTCTCCTCCTCCTCCTCGTCCTCCTCTTCCTCATCCTCCTCATCCTCCTC